CCGTGCCTCTCCCGTAGCGGGGCCGCGGCCGTCCCCGAGGCCGTGCTGCAGGGCCGGTGCCGCACAGCGCCTGGGAACCGGCCGCCGTGCCCCCTCGAGCTGTGTGTGTGTGCGGAGGCGTTCAGACTTGCTGCAGCTAAAGGTTATCGTAAAACAGGTGAGGGAGTAAACTTAAAGCCTAGTAACTCCAGCTGTGCCCTCTCTTGCACCGCAGCAAGCAGGACGACATTTAGAAATAGCTTCAGTTTCTTTCGGATACCTCAGTTCTATGGAAAAGCAAATCCAAGAATTTAGTCAGGGAGCAGGTAAGGATAGCGGTCCTTGTGTTCCAAAAACCCCCTTTGCTTCCTAATTAAAACTGGCTAGGATGATTTTGCTATTGATTACCAACACTTAATGCTGGCACATGTCCCCCACAGAACCACAGCAGGCAGGAACAACAGTTGGATTCTGTACGAGAAATACTATGTGTAATGCTGGCTTGCACAGAACAGTGAAAAATAAGGTCTATTTTTTACACAAGTTAAATACTTATCAAGGATGTTGCATTATTGGTCTTCCTGCAGGTAAATAAGTTGGTGATTTATACTGATTAAACACTTTATTTATAAAGAATTAATTTCCCAGGTGGCCTACCTGTGAAGTAAGCATTGCAAAACTGATACCTGATGACAGTAATTATACCATCCAGCACTAAATTTAGATGATAGATGAAAAGACACTAGAGGGAGGCAGGGATGTGTTGGTGAGAAATTGCAAATTAATTCACACAACTGTGATCTTGAGATCATCAGGTGCAACCCACCTGCCCAAGCAGGGTCAGCTAGAGCAGGTTGTCCAAGACTGTGTCCATTTGAGTATTTCCACAGACGGGAAACTCCACAACCTCTGCCCGTGTACAACATCCCTCGCAATCACAGAATCACAGAATGGTAGGGGTTGGAAGGGACCTCCGTGGGTCATCTAGTCCAACCCCCCTTCCGAAGAAGGGTCACCTACAGCAAGCTGCACAGGACCTTGTCCAGGTGGGTCTTGAATATCTCCAGAGAAGGAGACTCCACAACCTCCCTGGGCAGCCTGTTGCAGTGCTCCGTCACCCTCAGAGGGAAGAAGTTCTTCCTCATGTTCAGACGGAACTTCCTGTGCCTCAGTTTGTGCCCATTGCCCCTTGTCCTGTCGCTGGGCACCACTGAAAAGAGCTTGGCCCCATCCTCCTGACACCCACCCTGCAGATATTTGTAACTGGGGAGCCCCGAACTGGACAGAGTACTCCAGATGAGGCCTCACCAGGGCAGTGTAGAGGGGAAGGAGAACCTCCCTCGTCCTGCTGGCCACACTCTTCTTGATGCACCCCAGGATCCCATTAGCTTTCTTGGCAGCCAGGGCACACTGCTGGCTCATGGTTAACCTGTCGTCCACCAGGACACCCAGGTCCCTCTCCACAGAGCTGCTCTCCAGCAGGTCCACCCCAAGTACTGATGCATGGGGTTGTTCCTCCCCAGGTGCAGGACCCTGCATTTGCCTTTGTTGAACCTCATCAGGTTCCTCTCTGCCCAAAGTGTTTTCTTGTGTTCCAGTGGAATTTCATGTGTTTTAATTTGTGCCCATTGCCTCTTGTCCTGTCAACAGGCAGTACTGAGAAGAGGCTGTCTCCCTCCTCTTCATTGCATCCTATCAGGTATTTATGCACATACATAAGATCACCCTGAGCCTTCTCTCATCCAGGCTAGAGAGTCTCAGCCTCTCCTCCTGTGGCAGATGCTCCAGTCCCTTAATCACTGTTGGTTCCCTGTGCTGGTCTTCTTCCAGTTAAGTCCATACCTTTCTTGTACTGAGAACTCGATGCAGTACTACAGGTACAGCCTCACCAGGTGTCCAGTCTGCCAGCACTGCCTAGAAGGGTTAAAAAAAAAAAGTCTCAGAACAATTCCTTCTCAGCTGTTCTTGCTGCAAATGTAAGTTAAGTACATATACTGATAGAAAGGAACAATAGTTTAAATATACTGGCTTTGAAATAAACACGATCTTGTAGTTATTCTTAAGGAAAAGCTACATGCTTTCAACTTGAAGCTAATCATCCTAATTGAACTTTAACTTGCTCAAGTGAGTGTAACAGTACAAAAGGCCACATTCTCTCAAGCCAATATCATTACTGTTGGATAGCATCTAAATCCTCAGAACAGACACACATGCAGACGACAGCAATGCAGGCCTTTATACTGCTGAGCTGGAAAGGCTGTTCAGCTGCTGTGGGCAGTAGCATAGTAGCAACTGAAGTACAGCTATTAAGGTATTTCAGACACTGGACAACTTACACAAAATACAATTTAAGTGATGTGACAAGCAAAATGAATAAAAAGCAACTACAGTTCTCTTAAAAAACTTCTCAGAATGCAGCAATGACTGTCACAAATAACATTCCAATCATCTAATTTTATAGTGAGAACACATTGCATTGTGAGGTTCTCATTTCTTGCCCATTTTGTATTTGAACAACCAATCACTTTGGAATTCAGAATGTTTGGAAAGTACCAGCTTTGTTAGTCAGGAATGAAGTGAGGGACTGGACAGGGAGCATGGAAGTAGTGCTTAATAACATACAGAATAAAAAGATTTAAGGAAGGTATTTTTTTTCTCCGTGCCTTTTTAATTCTATTGAGAAATGCACTAAAATCCATGAGAACACAGAACACTACTGCAACACCAGATACACTTTATACATTTCTTTAAGCCTTTAATGTGCCAACATGTTCATGAGCTATGATCATCCTTTGAATCTGAGCCATTCCCACATAAATCTGAAATGAAGAATTGCAATAATGGTAGCTGATGATTTTTTTAAAGGTTTTTAAACAGATCTACACTGTTAAACCTTCACAGCACTAATCCAGTGTGGATTAGGATGTGCAGAAAGGCAGACAAAACTGAGAAAATTCCAGTGTGACAGAGTAAGTACAGTGGGCTAAATGGCATAAATCACATGCAAGATATTGAGAGACAGTTTTGTTCTCTCAGGTGCTCTTATGTAAACTCAGTAAGGTTCTCATGAAAATAAACAGACATGGTGAGTGAAGTAGGATGAGGAAAATATCCGAGGAACAAAATACGTAATTTAGGTTTTACAAAGTAGCATTTAAAACAATAGGTGGAGGGGAGGAGGTCACTTGTTCTGAAAGCATGGTATTTGCTTTGACTAGCCTTTCAAGGTCATACCAAATGTTCTCTTTGATCCATTTATTTCTGTTGCTTCTTGTTAAGTAGTACTCTCTCCCATACAGTTTTGTTTTAGTTTTTGTTTTGGTTTTTTTTTTATTCATGTCTTCTTGCATTTTCTTCTAGAAACAGTCTGCATCATCCCTCTTTTCTATTTCTTTGCTGGCAGCAAAGTCAAAGATATACAACAAAGCATATATGAAGCTCTAATGCTGAAGGAGGCCGTATGCTACACAGGTATACTGCAATGTAACACGAAGGCTGAGCAACATAGTTCATGGATTTCAGCATTTAAGCTCCCAGTTCTGACAGAACTTGGTTTGGCAAATTGCTCAAATTCATGCAAATTCACTTTCTCATTCACTTACAGGAATAATCTTCCAAGAACGTTACAAAGCTTTTTAAAAATAAAGATGCTATAACCTATGTTCACATTAGTTTTTTGGTTCAGAAGAAAGTGTTCATTCCCAAAGTGAATTCTCTGACTGGTGCTGCTTACCCCATGTTGATCCAGTTCATAAAGCAGATTGTGTTTTGTGAATACTAGGTGCCTTCTGGAGCAAACTGAAATGGAAGCTCTGCTTTCTCTATATACCAAATACTCACTAATCCTTTATGAAGCCATAATAGTCTAAGCCTACAACTGGACCCTTACAATTACTTACATGTGGGGGACATGCAGTCCAAGGGACCAAACAGGCTTGCTATGAACTCAGCCTGCCCAAACTGCTTGTAGTGTAGATTGTAGGGGCCTCAGCAGCTAGTCCAGCAACCTACTACTAATCTGCTCCCAGTACACTAAATTACTTGCTGATGAAGACAGCCATGGAACTGAAGTATAAAGACATCAGAACTCACAATATTCCTACATACTTGCAAGAAAGGTTTTGGTTTATAAGCCAACGGAAATAATTTCAAGAATTTCTGACAATTGAAGAAGGAAAGTTTCCTGAATTTGAGAAGGGAAACCAAGTTAGAGTTTTTACCAGAGTAGCCTAGATTTGTAGGCAAACAAACCTAGAGCACAGTAAGGACATGTAAAAATGCTACCAGTAGACACAGCATTGGAATTGTGTAATACTGAAAAAGATCAAATATATGGAAGAAAAGTTGGACAACCAAGTTTTTGTACATTAAACATATGGCCAAAAGCATATACCATCTGAATCTGGGCAGCAATACAGTAAAGCACAGTGAAGTCCAAGGTATAATCAGACGTGGACAAAATAATTGTAGAGACAAAAGCCTTTCCTGAATTCCTTTGGGGATGAAGTGAAACAGAAAAACACCAGAAATTTAATACTAACTCTGATTAATCTTAACAATTTTTTAAAAGTCTGCTTAGCCATGCATTTGTGATGGATCAGTGTAACGGAAAAATCTAAATAACTGGGATCCTCTAAAATCAATCTCCGCTTTCAAATCAAGTTCTAACCGTCACACCATCTTTCTCTAGAAAAGTATGCAACCTGACAGGAAAAAAGCCCAGTCATAATGAAGTTCAAGTAATCATTCATTTCCTCACCCACAGGAGTGCAATTAGTTCTAAGAACATTTAGATTCCAAAACAGTGGCTGTGTTTCCTTAAATAGAGAAAAATAAATTCTTGGCTAGTGAGAATAATAGTTTTTATTTTAAAGTCAGCTTAAGAGAAATATTAACTCCCTACAATCTGAAGAATGACAGCTGTTACAGCTAACTAACATTACAGGTCATGGTCCACATGCATTTCTTGATGTCATCTATTTTGATATGTTTTACCTAGTCACAATGTCATAAAGAGGTGAAAATATTACTGGTTTTGCCAAAAGTATACTCTAACAGAAAAACTATGACATGGCATGGAATAATCTCTTGGCAGTAACACTGCAGAAAAAACCTGGGGATTACGGGTGACAGGGCTAAACATGAGTAAATATGATTGGGTTTTGTTCTTAAAAAAAAAGGCTAACCCCTCTAGGTTGTGTCACACTTCTGTTAATACAACACATGCAAGATAATCATTCCATAATACTTGATACTGGTGATATTGCAGCCAAAGTATTCTACCCAGCTTATGATACCAAAGTTTCAAAAAAAAAGGTTTAGAGCACAGCAACAAATGATGAAAAGTCTGGAAACAGAAGGGGGGGGACACCCAAACAAATGAAAAAAACCCCCATAACTTATGAGGAAAAAGGCGAAGAAACTTATAAGGGAAAAAGGTGAAGAAGCTGCTTTAGTGTTCAGGCTGAGAGCAAAGCTGAACTATAGGCAGGCACCAGCCCAGGATACGTATGAAAGGTCAGAGCACTTCCATCACTGAAGGTTTTCAAGAACAGCATTATACATAAACCATCTCTACTTACAGAATACCAAAGCAAGCATTGGTATTTTGATCAGGTGTTTTTATAGTGTTTTCTTCTAAGAGTTCAAAAGCTTCAAAATTAAGAGTCTAAGAATTTCAAAGACTTACCACACGGGGGTGGGGGGGGGAGGGCAGAGAGGAGAAAAAGAAAAAACATAATTTCGTTCCTTTATGTGGGTTGAGTTGTTGGTCCAGTGCAATGACTTTTGCATGCAAGAATTTTCCTGATCTGAATGTATCTTTCTTTAAATTGAACGATTGTTGCTTTCATTGTAAAAACTTTTTATTATGCGTGTACATCACGATTTGAAATAAGTAGCCATTAGTTTAGTTTCTATAAATTCACAATCACAGAATGTCAGGGGTTGGAAGGGACCTCTGTGGGTCCAACCCCCCTGCCGAAGTAAGGTCTCCTACAGCAGG